CTAATTAACTTACCGCTACACGAAAAACAACACGCCTATAGCTTAGGTAAATCAACAGAATGCATGCACTTCACGAGGTAATAAAAAAGATTGAAGAGGCCATCCAAAACAAAGCAATATGTCTTGGCTCCTTCATAGACATAGTAGGTGCTTTTGACAGAAAAAATTTCTCCAGGGTGGGGTTCTTTCACCTCTTCTGTGGAATATGATCATTAATGAACTCATCAGCAAATTAAACGCTAACCATTTCTAGACAGTCGGTTATGCAGATGATCTGACAATACTGGTACCGTACCGTATTGTGGAGAGATGGTGCAGGGAATATGACCTAACCGTTAATCCAAATAAAATAGTTATAGTAATGTTCACACAAAAACGAATGCTGAATAACTATCATCTTCCAAGCATTTTCAGCACAAAACTCCAGCTTTTCTCCGAGGTAAAATACCTAGGTCTTACCTTGGACAGTAAACTTAACTGGAACAAACACATAGAAAACAAAATCATCAAAGCTAGTTTAACTTTGTGGCAATGCAGAAACATGATTGACAAACGATGGGGTTTAACGCCAAAAATTATACTGTGGGTGTACAAAACTGTAATTCGGCCCATGATCACATACGAATCTCTGGTATGGTGGACCAAAACCAATGAAACCACCACTATACAAAAGCTTCAGCGTTACCAGAGATTTGCTTGTATGACTGCCACGGGCTGCAGAAGGACTACACGAACAGCAGCTTTGGAGGCTATGCTGGTGCTAACACCGCTTCATCTACATATACAACAAGAATCAACTTTAGCTGCTATTAGACTCAAGACCCTAAATCTTTTAAGTAAGAGTAGAGTCCCCCATACAGATATAATCGATAGAATTTACTCAAAAATTCCTATCTTACAAGCCAAGTATAATAGGATCCCAAAACAATTTGTATTTGATAAGAAGTACAGGATACAATTGAAGGAAACTGACCATCTGGAAGGATTGGGTCAAAGAGAGCTCAAAGTTTTCACGGATGGCTCTAAGACAAATGAAGGTGTGGGGTGGTACACCGCTGGTACACCGCTGGGTACCCACAACACAGTCTTCCAGGCTGAATTCATGGGTATCATCCAAGCGGCCATAGCAATAGATGCTAGGAAGGTGAAAGACTTCTCCATCAGAATACTGACATTACTGACATACTCCGAGTTGCAATGTGACGAACTCGGGAATGATATACGAGTGCCATCAACGATTGAATGGGGTATGTAAGCACAACAATGTTACTCTGCAATGGATCAAGGGACATAGTGGAACTAGAGGCAACGATGCAGCAGATGAACTGGACAGAAGGGGATCGACCCTAGCAACTATAGGGCCGAAACCAATAATACCAATCCCCTTTGGCTATGTTCGTTCACTGGTACGTAGATACTTCAATAATTTACACGCTCAGCTTTGGAAAAATTTAGTAGACTGTAGACAAGCTAAGAAGGCCCTACCTGAAATAAACAGTCGTCTAACCAAGTTCTAATGAGACTGAACTAGCAACAGATCAGGATAGTAACAAGTTCTATCACAGGACATGTCTCTTTTAAGAAACATTTGTTCACCATAGGTGCTACTGATAGCCCCCCTGTACAGAGCATACATGGGAGAGGTAGAAACGGCGGCTCACGTGTTGCTGACCTGTCCAGAAGTCGCTTTATACAGGGCTTAACATCTCGGCACGCCGGGATCGCTCCCCCGAAGTTGCTTGCAACATCAAGGGACTGCTGAACTTCTTCGGGGAGATATCATGGCTCGAATAAGTATATTATTCCTGCCCACACGCAAAATACGCGCTTAGACGTGTAGTTGCGGAAAACAGCCCGTCGTAAACTAAACTAAACTAAAACTACGTCAGTTACTCTGGTCCTACGACAAATATCCTCAACATGATGTCTATCATACAGAGGAACTCCGACCGCAACTCTATCCATAGCTTGCTAGAGCTGAAGCCAGCAGTGAAGGTTTACTTTTCCGCTCAAAATGTCATTACTATCATAACGCACTGGTTGTAGACTAATATTTTTAGATTTTTAGGAATATTCATTTTAAAATTATTACCCTGGCCCCTCGTCTGTCCAAACGCCATATTCTGGCGTCTCAAATAATATGCGCATCTGTCAAACGCCATAATATGGCGTCGAGTGACAGCAAACTATTTGCAACATATATATGATATGTGTGATATACATACATATCTGCATGATTGATTTTGTCTAAATTTGATTTAATAATGTGTTTGTTTTTGTTCTTCTCTCTTCTCTTTTAACTCCCTTATATTTTGTCCCGATGTCGAGCTATGTAAGGCCTTTCTCGACCTTGTACACAAAAAATTTATGATTTTTTTTATAATTAAATATGCTTTGTACGTACAAGTAAAACAAATAGTACTTGTAATAAAGGCTTTAATTTATAATTATTACACCTTTGCAGAAAATTGGGGAAAACACTTTTCCAACTTTCGTTTTCAAATTAGTATCACTTTACAAGTAAACCTGTATTCAAGTTATACATAAGCTGATAGCTTATTTAATAAAGTTTTCATTATTATATGATTTCAATATACCTTTTATAAAAAAATGTCTTGAAAATAGTCATTGTAATGAAAAGCAGGAAGTAGTCTGGAAGTACTTCGGGAAGTGCTCGACAGATGCGCCATATCGTCCAAAATGACCCCGCCATTCGAGGGGCTAGGTAAACTAAATTAATACTACACTTTATACTTTACTTTGATCTTAGCAAAAAGCCGAGAAGCGTAAGTAATAGTCTACCAATTTCTTACTGCTGGACTCATGTTTCACCGATGTTCTAATGAAGTGCGGGTATTGAACATGCATAGTTAGCGTATTCACAGTCCCTGCGCAAGCTAAAACATCATCACAAACAGACATTTTCAATGTTTTATCTATTTACAATTATCTTTATTTTAGGCCTATAGTTCAACAGTAGATTTACATTAAATAAACTACATATTTTAGCTAGTTTCAATCAGTCCACAGCTGAATAAAAGCATTGCGACAATATCTGTAGAATAATATGGATAACGAAACTTGAAAGTCGTGGGTTATGTTCAGCATTGAACTTTTATACTTTGATGTTCCACAAAATTGCTTCTGTGACACTCGCCTACGATGGCGCTAATCAACTATATTTTCAATTTAAAATAATTGTCATGTGGAGAAATTTTGCTTTAATTAGCCCTTTCCTGTCTTCGGAGAAAAATCAAGATACATATAAGGTGAATATTTCAAGGTCTATCTCGGGCAGTATAATGAAATGTCTTACAGTCGAACTTACCTTGAAGCATTATTACGCCATTATTCTATAATTGTAAGTTGAAAAGTACCAATTAATATCTCCTCATGTGCCCGACAAATGCTCTCTTTCGTAATTGTAACTAGAACATTTATCACATATCATTCTCATTAGACTGTATAAAATGCATTCCACTTCTTCAAATTAACTCCCATGGTGGAGAGGATTAGCCGTAATAACCAAGCTTGTCAGATAGGGATGTAACTTGATACGATCTTTGAAAGAAGTGAACAGTTTAGTATTCAAATAGATAAATTTCGAGTAATATAATTTTCTTTTAGTTTTAACAGTGTTACGTGTATGATATTTTTCTAACTTAAACGCCACCTAGAATTTTCAAGTGAACAGTTTATTTTACATCTAAAATGTCATATATATATATATATATATATATATATATATATATATATATATATATATATATATTTTCTTGCACTTTTGCGTGGCAACCTTGATATAAAAAAATAAATTTAATTAATTTAATTAAATAATAAACCTGATTTGAAAGCTCATCTTGTGGTAGATAATTTAATTAATTCGATTAGAACAATTACAATCTTGATTCTTTTAAATAATAACACAAATATACATGTAATACAATGTTGTAAAACATTAACTACAAATAATTACACTAAGATTATTTTTGTATAAAATTTTAAGGTAAACTAAATAGGTCATGCTTCCTAATATGTTCTATGTAAATTACTAATGCTAAATATTTATTTTCAATAATATAGATTTTTCTATCAAAGTAGGAGGAATTTTTAAACACAATTTTAAATCCCCAAATGTGAAATGTTACCCCAAATCCTTAGGCCTTCGGCTAAGTTTCCTTTAATGTAATATTTTAGTTTTATTTAAATTTCAAAGTAAAGAGGGTATAATATGATATATAATAATATGATGTTTTTATGGAGTGGACAAAATCAGAAAACAAGAGTTTAACTGCTTAATTTACCTATATTTCCAAGACTATAATTGAAGTTTATTATTAAAAAAATAATGTAATAAGTGAAGGTCAAAAGGCTCGCTAAATAGACTACCAATAGTAATTATATTACTCAAAGGCTTAGATAAACAGGATTGAAAGTATTGAGAACAAATGAAACCAATATCTGCATTTGATTGGTTTATTTTTATATTATATGCATTTAAATAAAACGCTTAGAAGCTTATTTTTGACACTAATTTAAATGTATAGCTTTAAACATTCATACGTACTAGAAAGAGGGACGAAAATAAGATAAAAGGGTCAGTCTTATATTTGGGAAAATTGTATAATAAGAATAAACAATATTTACAAAAGTTGGGAAGACACATATGCGAATGACTTAAATAAATTTCTAGGAAATAAATAGGTTAAGATCCAAATCTTTCTTACATTAATTACTCTCCCATCATACAAATAACAAGTCCTTCTTAAGTTATTATTTTATAGTAAAATTTTAAGTTTTAATATTGATAACAACATTGCATGTTTACCTCACATGATGCCAATCGTTCTAGCCATTCATTCCCAGTATTTACATTTTAAATTATTAATGACGAGGAAATTATTTCAAATACAATAAAATTGAGAAATAGTCTAATTGACTCGAAAATGGTAGGTACCAGGTCACCTCAAATTCGAAGGATCCAGTACCAGAACCCTCGGCTAAAGAGAAACAAATTCTGGTGGTGGAGGTGGTAAACTTAATACAGGTGTCTCAGAAGGTTCAGGATTTTCACAACTGGCACCAGGTAATGACCAAGTAGAGCTTCCAGTTGCTGTAACTCTAGGGCCCATATTATCATAAGCCGGTGCAGTGCAACACGTTCTACTCCGTCGCGGTAGAGTTGCTCCTCCACTAAGAAGGTCTGGATATTTTGTTGGTTCATTTCTACCGGATACTTGGACTGAAATGAAAATGTTTCCATATGGCACTGGTACAGCAAATTCTGCAGGTGGAGGTGGAAATACTCCTGGAGTACCCTCTATTGTTATATGGACTGGTTCAAATCCACATCCTCTAGGTTGATCGTTATCAACAGATAAGGAACGTTCGGTGAGTTCGAAATCACAAGGAGATGCCATATCTGCAATAGAACGATCACAGCTGACAACAACTGAGGCATCAATCAATCGTTTCTCCTGGTCCATAAAACTACGACTAGGTGGCACAGTTCGCCTTCTTAAATGCCAACAAGCAACTGCAGCGATAAAACCAAGTGCGGCTAGGGCACCTAGTGCTCCAAAAACAACACCTAAAAGTTGAGGTATGCCTGGTGCAGTACGAGCAGTTGCTGTTTGGGATCTAGGTAGTACCAAACTAATAACTGCTCTAGCTTCTCCAGCTGTGCTCTTCGCTACACAAGTCCACTCTCCAGCAACACTTGAAGTTACATTTAACAATGTTACGTTTACCCATCTTACACTACCAGGCACTCTATCTTCCGAATTATCATTTTCTACTATTGTATCAGTTTCTTCCATATCGCAATCGATTGTATTGTTGTGAATATTCATTCCATCGAATAACCACATTACCTGAGGTTTTGGTATTCCGTGGACCCAGCATCCAAAGGAAACTGCTAATCCTACTTCTGCTCTCACAACCAATGTACTCGACCGTACTTCTGGAGCACATGTCATGTTTTCACTAGGAACATTCCGCCACTTGTTTCCAGCCTGTGTTGTTGGTTCTATACATAAAAGTTCTTCGGTTCCTAATTTACTATCTAAAAACCAATCTCGAAACTCACGTAATCGGCAGTCGCACCTCCATGGATTTCCAGACAGTGACATCGTTTTTAAGGCTGGCAATGAAAATGTACCTAAGCGAAGGAATGTCAATTGATTTCTACGTAAGTCTATGGTTTCTAGAGATCTCAAATTTCTTAAAGATTTCGTGTGTATTGTTCTGAGTCTACATCCATCTAATAGCAACATACGAAGATGAGGTAGCGGTGGAAACTGATCAGCGATCAAATTTGTCAAAGGATTATTACTTAACACTACCAATCTTAATCTTTCGTTGCCCCTGAATATGTCTCTCGGTAAAACTGATAAATCGTTATCAGCTAAGTCAACTTCAATTAAAATCCTCAATTCGAGAAATGCGTCTGCATGTATTGAACGCAATTTTGTTGCTTTCAAATTTAAACGTTGTAAGTTAAGTAAGCCTATGTTTGAGAAGATTCCTTGTGGAAGGTTTCTTAAAGGATTATCGTGGAGATCTAGTACTTGAATATCCGATGAGAGAGATGGCGGGCGGCGTAGGTCACCGGAGGCGCAATTGGCTGTCTTCTTTCCGGAGGACCACTTACAGCGACAGGTGGCAATGTGGGCACAATCTAGCCAGTCGCTGGCGGTCCTTGCGGTACACGTCGTGAATATAACTATCCAATACCATCTGGCCCACGACACGCGCATACTCATCTCATTTCGGCTTTATGCTTACATCGGCCGACTGCCTGAAACAACAAGGGAAACGTTAATCACAAGATATTACACAAACAAAGCGAAGACGAAAATACTATGACCTTCGTCGTCGAATCAGGTGTTATTTATTTCTTAATATGATCGTTCCTTTTGTGCAAGGAATAATTTCGTAACATTTATGAGAATATTTTTTTTATATTATGGTAAAGAAGTAAACAAAAAACTCACAAAAAGCAACATAATATTTTAATATATCATTAAATATAGATATCGAACATATTATGTGAAACGTGTAAGTACAGAGACGACCATGATAAGGAAAGCATATTCCTAATTTTCTCAACATGATAAAAACCCTTTGCTATGTCCAACAGTGTGATATTTAGAATAAGTGTGGGTTTTTATTTTTACTTTTATATAATACTATATGGTAAGTTGAACTTTTTTTTTGCTTTTCATTCTACGTTAAGCTGAAAATCATTTTGACCGTTATAGTATTTCATTTGAAAAGAAGTATAGCATGCATTATTATGAGAAATTTGAAGCATATAGATGAACAACATCACAGGTTATAAATTATTTCGTATTAGGTTTGAAGTAACTTTAATGAAAAATTAGTCGTGTGATATGGTGGTGGTTCATTTATCATTGCATTTTTTTAATAATCGCTTTATACACCACTATAAAAATAAAGTTAGTATTAAATTGGTATTCGTTTTGTTAAGTTCTGAATTTAATAACAAACAGTTAAATTATATGTCAACATTTATCGTTTCTATATAAAAAAATAATTAAAGCAATACCACTAAATGTGATCAAGTAAACGGAATATTTTGCTGCGCCGTGCACATTATAATGTACTGCAATCTATAATAAATGTACCTGCAAGCTGAAGCGGTAGTGGGCCGGATATAGCTTAAAAAACTGACAACAAATGGAAAAGACGAGTTCACAAGCGTCATACTTGTCACCGAGTAGTGGCGGCTAAGAGAATCATGTACTCCATCATTTCGTGGTTGCCGTAAGAGGCGATTAAGGGAAACTGTGTTTAATTTTTGCTGTATAAACTTACTGGTTGAGAGGAAACTGAACGCTAAAGAAAATACATCAAAAGGAGAAGTAAAAAACAAAAAAGGAACGACGCTCGCTATCGGTTTCGTGCATACTTATTTAATATTTTAATATCCTTTTTATAATATACTTATAATATCAACATAATTATATATTATTTTATAATAAGGGCTATTTTTATATATTAAATCACTAGTCCATCGAGTTTAAAGTTCTCTTGATGTACTAACAATGAGGATTATTGAGTTATTTTTTTATAAATTAAAATACTAAAGGTTTGAATTATTGTAGAATGATATTGTTATTCAATTTTATTATGATTTTTATAAATGAAAAATCTAGGAATACATAGGACAGACAGAACAGGAGCATTCGTACCCCTGATAGACATATTATAACCAATCCCCCTTTCGTCGTGTTGACCCAACGCCTGTTGGGGGACTTTCACGTCCTTGAGTTTATTTTTTTTAAAGATACAGGATTCCTCGGGATCCATCATCACTAAGAACGGGGTTAAGTAAGTATTCTGAACAATTAACGACTTTATGTTGGAGCTCCCACTCGGTTAGCTCGTATACTAGCAAATTTAAGGCTAACGGTTATACCTAAAAATATTCTTACATATTAGTCTACACATCGTTAATAACGTAACGCGACCTTGAAGAGAAGATTTTTCATAATCATAACCCATATCCTCCAGAATGCGAACGAAGAAATGTAATAATAGTAATAATAATCAGGGGCTGAAGGGGTTCGTGGTGTGTCACGCTGTGTTTGCCCGGCAATTTCTGGAGACTTTCGACCAACTCGCTCCCGAGTCTCTTCACTACTGGGATCATTCATTTGATTCCTAAAGACCAGGATACCACAAACTCGAGCAAACACCACCCTGTCACGGATCTGCCAATCATATACAAGACCCTAACATCCATTTTGAGGGCGAGATCACTTGTAACCAGAACTAAAATTGGTAATGTCACGCGCTCAAAATGATGTCGGGGCAGTTGTCTTGGAACCATTAAACCACTCCTCATTGACGCAGTCATTGGCAAAGTGGTTAAGTGCAACCGTTGGAACTTTTCCACCGCCTGAATAAACCATAAAAAGGCATTCGACTCGGTGCCTCATACATTGCTAGAGAGGGCCCTTGAGCAGTATTACAAAGTTAACTGAACGGTTAGAGACTTCTATGGGGAAATGGAGTACAGTCCTTAGTCGTCTAGGAGAGTGGATGACGGATGCGGAGAACTACATAAGGATACTCGTAAGAACGGGTATCTTTTAGGGCGATTTTTTGAGTCCGATCTGATTCTGCTTCTCTCTTAATCCACTCAGTACCTTACTGAAGGGTTCCAGGAAGCGTCTTCACCTTTGTAAAGGATGTAATGTTGAACGGTTGGTAAATGAAAGGAAACGTGTTTCTCTACTCAAGACTTTAATTATACTGACACTTAAACCTAAGAGTAAGTATATTTATTAACATATGCTAGTAGGGTGGAGGCACATACACTACACCTCCCCCGATACTTAAAAAAAAAAGGAAAGTTCTCTATTTACTTTTTTTTTACATTTTAGTTTTCATGAATCTTATAACATAATAATAATTTAAATATTAAATAATTTTTAATATTTATTTTTAATCTTTCAATATTGAAGATTAAAATAAAATACATTGTTACATAGGCTTTAAATGTATACAATTTCTATTTGGAATAAAATAACGTAGTTAAACAAAATATAAACTAACTTCATTTAAAAGAAATTATAATCTCATGATCATGATCAGATTATACCATGGTTATACATAATCATATTATTAAGTCAATCCGTGATACGCATGCGATTTTATTTCGTTAACATTTTTATTTCGTACGACATTAAGCCTGTCGTATTTTTGATATTAATCAATGTCACAACTGCACGTTAACATGAACATACCACCTATCATACCATATACTTATTAATATTTTTTTTTACATTTATTTTCACTCGAGATTTATTACATTAACTATATGTTCTAGTTAGAAGTTATGATTTAAAAGTTCAAACAATATAAAACTGAAAATAAACTATTACATTTCATATTAAGCAGTACCTGCTCTACCTTTATATATATTTATTCACATTTGTATTCATAATTGTATATACTTTATATTTAATTTATTTATACCTTTATATTTGTTTAACTATTGCTTTCATGATCCACACAAATAGGTTAGACATTAATATTCTACTATATTTTCAGAAATTAATGACTTATAAAAGTTAAAGCATGTGATTTGAAGGTTTAATGAATATAACACCGATAATATTACATTTCATTTAAATATGAAAAGAGCAAAAAAACATAATGTAATGCAACGCAAATATCATCGCTATCAGCAATAACGGGAATCAAAATACAACTTGCAATCCCAGTCGCGTAAGCGGTTTGTGACACCTACGTTTTAAATTTCTAAGTAGGTAGGTACGTATAAGGCTACGTTTGCAATTACATCGGACTATGATCACAAGGTGTGGTGATTCATACCTAACATTAGGTAACTTCCATAATATGTTATAATATGAATGCAAGTAAAATATACCTTAAAACTTGGAACAGATATTTAAAAATAGTTGCATTGTTAATAATAAAATATTACTCTTACCTCTAAGAAATACGTTTATCTTAATTGGGACAGAAATTTATATAAAAAGAGAATACACTGTTAGGTACACAGCTAAAGGACTTTGTTTTTTTACAAAATATTTATTTACATTGGAAAAGCCAATTTTATTTCAAGCAGGTGACACAATTTTAGGTTTTCGTTGCCTTTTTTTATAGAAAAAAAAAACGATTACATTATACAATTTACAATAATAGTGTATCGATAACCTTTGGACTTGATTATAATAAGCTTTATATAAATGTAGTTCAAAATTGTACACATTTTACATAAGAAAACATGAGACAGAAAAAAAAATTATTTAAAGTAAATACGAATTAATGTGCCTAAATATGAAAAAATCTCGTAAATTTATATAAATTTACGCGAAAGTGTACTTATCATATTCGGTTGATATATTTTTATTTGTTTACGTGTAGTTGTGCGAATCGAACCCTATAGCTGTTATATGTGCAACTTGCTAGTAGCATTTTGGGTAGCGTTAATAGTCCTAATATAGAAATGCAAAATAACCATCTATCCACTATTAGATTATCATACATTTATCACACTTTTTAATTTGCTCGGGGATCCCCTTATTATCCTGTATTGTCATCAATTATTAGGCCTTTTTTCCATAATTCTTGTACGTACTTTCTTTTTTTCTTCTTAATATTTTTGACCTTTAGCTAGCTCTATTTCTCTCTATTCACTTATATTTTTTTATTTATTTATTAGATACCGGGAATCGGAGTATTATTTCATTTCATTTATATTTTATTTCGTGATATTTATCACGCGGGTACTTTATAAATATGGGCCCCCCCCATTTATTTGGGTATTATATTACATTTTCGTAACATTCATTTCATTTTATTGGTACATATTTTATTTTTATTTTATATCAAGGTAAAATGTACCTTGGGTTGTGCGCACAACCTTGAGGTCTACGTTTAAGTCATTAAAAGGACTCCAACAATTGTCACAGAGGAAAACTAAGTTTGCACCATGATCCAACGAAGGATGTGACCTCAATGTACCATTAATAAGGGTAACAAATTTAAGACTTCTCTGGTCCCTAACAGTACTAATATGAGTAAACTCAGTTATACCACTTGTACTGAAGGCGTTGTTCCCTAGTACCCGTTACTCCGATTTCATCGTCCAATCACGGAAACTCGAGCTCGAGGACTATACGCTATACCAGTGTTGAACGTTCCCATATCTCTTCATTACTTATTGGTCAATGTCATATTTTTATTTATTTTTATTATTGCCATAAATATTTATTCCTTCTTTATTTCTTCATTACCTTG